AAGTGGCATGTTGAAATCTCCTACTACTATTGTGGAGCTGTCTCTCTCTCTTTTCAGTGCTGGTTGAGTGTATTTTATGTATTTTGGAGCCCTGTCATTGGGTGTGTAAATATTATAGTTATGTCCTCCTGGTGTATTGACCCTTTAATCATTATATAGTGTCCTTCTTTATCCTTTGTGATGGATTTTAATTTAAAGTCTATTTTCTCAGAGATTAATATTGCCACTTCTGCTCTTTTTTGAGTGTTATTTGCTTGATATATTTGTTTCCATCCTTTGAGTTTTAGTTTGTTCGTGTCTTTTAAGTCTAAGGTGTGTCTCTTGTGGGCAGCATATAGACGGATCATGTTTTTTTATCCAATCTGCCACTCTCTGTCTCTTTATTGGTGCATTTAGTCCATTTACATTCAGCGTGATTATTAATAGGTATGTAAACTCATTTTGATGTCTTTTTTTGTGTGTTGTTGACAGTTTCTTTGTTCCACTTAATTTTCTGTGCTGATTTTCTTTTCATCTTTTTCATTGTTGTTGATTTTGTGTTTGCTGAGTCTTTATATTTTTCTAGTTTTTTTATTTTGACTTGTAGGATTGTTAGTTTCCTTTGTGGTTACCTTAATATTTACCCGTTTTTCTAAGTTTATAGTAGTCTTTTATTTCTTCATATCACCTTGACTTCCTCTCCATATGAAAAATCTATGTCTACATTTTTAAGTCCCTCTTTTTTGTTTTAGTATTGTCATCTTTTACATGTTGACATCTGTTTCCCTATTTTCAGTGTGTTAGCTTTGATTTACTTTTGTGACTTCCCTATCTGGGTTGATCCCTGATTCCTCTGTCCTGTGTTGTAGTCTTGGGTTGTTATCTGATGTTACTGTTTTCTAACCGGAGGACTCCCTTTAGTATTTTTTGTAATTTTGGTTTGGTTTTTGCAAATTCCCTAAACTTCTGTGTATCTGGAAATGCCCTAATTTCACCATCATATTTGAGAGACAGTTTTGCTGGATTATAATTCTTGGCTGGCAGGTTTTTTTCCTTCAAGGCTTTATATATGTCAATCCATTGCCTTCTTGCCTTCATGGTTTCTGCTGAGTAGTCTGAGCTTAGTCTTATTGACCAGCTTTTGTAGATGACTTTTCGTTTATCCCTACCCGCTCTTAAAATTCTCTCTTTATCTTTGGTTTTGGCAAGTTTGATTATAATATGTCTTGGTGACTTTCTTTTTGGATCTACCTTGTGTGGGGTTCCATGAGCATCTTGGATAGATACCTTGTCATCTTTCATGATATCAGGGAGGTTTTCTGCCAACCAGTCTTCAACAATTCTCTCTGTATTTTCTGTTATTCCCCCCGGTTCTGGTAGTCCAGTCACTCGCAGGTTATTCCTCTTGATAGAGTCCCACATAATTCTTAGGGTTTCTTCCTTTTTTTAAATCGCTTTATCTGATTTTTCCTCAAATAAGTTGGTGTTAAGTGCTTTATCTTCAATCTCACTAATTCTGACTTCCATTGCCTCAATTCTGCTCCTATGACTTTCTACTGAGTTGTCTAATTCTGAAATTTTATTGTTAATCTTCTGGATTTCTGATTGCTGTCTCTCTATGGATTCTTGCAGCCTGTTAAATTTGTTATTATGCTCTTCTCTAATCTTTCTAATTTCCTCTGTTGCATGTTCTGTGTTTTGCTTAATTTCCTTGCTAATTTCTTGAAGAGTTCTGTTTTGTATTGTGCCTCCAGTAATTCCAAGAAATTTTCTTCCTCTGGAAAATTTCTAGATTCTTTATTTTGGGAGCTTGCTGAAGCCATCATGGATTGCGTCTTTATATGATTTGATATCGACTGTTGCTTCCAAGCCATCAATAAGTTATTATATTTATTTATTTGATGTTGCTTACTGTGTCCTAGCTTCTTGTTTTGTTTTGATATGCCCAAATATGCTGCTCGTATGAGCTAGTTTGATTATTGGCAGCTTTGAAGCTCTAATGTCCTGTCATCGGGTGGTTAGCTCTTACTAGGTATGTGAGCTCAGGAGTCCGCCTACTCCTTCTGTATGGATTCAGCTCAGGTGCCCAGGTAGATAGCCACCAAGTGTGTGGTGTAGGGTCTCACCTACAGTCCTAGACAGGCATGGATGATTGGTATAGGCACAGGCATCTGGCTGCAGCAGGGGGACACACTCTGAGCAAGGCAGGGTGCTGATGGCCACCCCCGAGCGTCCAGGAGGAAGGCATGTCCCTGTTCCCTAGAGCGTGTAGGTGGGTGGGTTTTGCAGCCAGAATATAAGCACCTAATGCTGTTGGCTGTAAGGTGTGGGGGGCACCTCTTATTCATGGGCCCCTATCACAGGTGGCTAGGTGGTGTGGGTGGAACCGCCAGTCCTCAGGCCCCTGGTGTGGGTAGATGAAGACCCTGCTTAATGGGCAGAGTAGTGTCAAATGTCAAGAACCTGCCACTTCACAGCTAAAACAATTGAAGTTAGACTTCCGTTATATACCCTGTTGTACTGCGGTAATGAGGGCCTATGCTGTTGAAATGGGCCCACACAAGTCTATGCAGGGGGAAAGGCACTCAAAGTCCATGGATCTCTTATGCCTGTGCCTAGGCAAAGGAGCTGTGCCTACCCTGGGTTACTGGCTTAGGCGAGCCGGCAGTTTATTTTTTCCTTCTGTTTGTTAATTTGTTCGCTCTCCAAGGCAGGGAGAATGGCTCCAGGCATGTGACAGATCCTACTTCCGGCCCAGGGGACTTGGCAATTGCTGAAGCTGGTTCGGGACCCAGTGCAGAGGAGGTAGTGGGGTGGTAAATGGGAGAGAGGTTTTTCCCTAAAGGAGGTGTTTTTGATCCGTGCGGTAGGCCATATGCAGGTACTTATCTTTTGCTGATGAGGGCTGCTTCTCACTGGTTCTGGGTGGCTGTGTAGACTCTCTGGCTTGGGTCTCTCCTGGCACTGAAAACATGCCTCCTGAGCACCAATGCTTGCCTGCTCACCCCCAAGCTGATCAGGCCTGAAGGGCTCACGCTTTTGCCAGGTCAGGTCTGGCAACTCCTCGCTGCTTCTGAACCATCTCTCCCTCCCCCTGCCACTCAGTCCATTTCTTCACCTTTGCCTTTGATGTTCAGGGCTCCCAGATTGCCATATATAATTGTTAGATTCACTTCTTTTTTTCAGGTCTTTGTTGTAAGAGGGTCCACTGGAAGCGTCTGACTACTCCGCCATCTTGGCCCTGCCTCCAGCTTGTAGTCTTTAAATTATTCAGAAATATAAACAAGTCTTCCAAAGCAATTTTCCTTCATGAAATATTTAGGGAACATACTTCTTATGCTTTGAAAATTAATGGTATTTTTTTTTTGCAATAACATTTTAATATCCAGTGTAATACAGGGTTTTTTTTCTTTAATTTAATCTGTTCAGGACCAGCACCTGGAGCAGAAGGTACACTATCGATTCTAGGTGAATTTCTCGAAGAATCCTCGAGACTGCAGTCTGACTCACAGGAACAATCTCCGGATCCAAATTCTAGCCGAAAACTGTCCAACGTATTTGTCAAGGAGATATCAGTAAAGAAAGGTGATTAGGAATGAAGGTTTCCTCTTTAAGGGGGGCATCTCATAAACAAGTTAGATAAGGTTGAAACTCTTAACATTACCAAAAAGGCAATCTGACTTGTTAGAAGTTGCCACATTGTGTAGGTTCCTTCATGTTAGGCTAGGCTCTGAAACTCACACTCTGTGATGGAACTCTTTCATTCTTTCTTTTTTTATTGTGCATTAGGTGAAATTTTACAAAGCAAATTAGATTCTCATTTGATAGTTTATACTTAAAGTGTTTCATGGCCTTGACTTCACTCCCCACAACGTGTCAGCACTCTACCCATTTCTGCCCTGGATTCCCCGTTTCCTTTTGTCTTGATTTTCTACCCCTTCCTGCCTTCTCATCTTTGCTTTTGGGCGAATATTGCACTTTTGATCTCATGTAATTAATTGTGTTAAGGAGCACATTCCTCTTGGGTGTCATTGTTTATTTTATGGGCTTATCTATTGTTTGGCTGGAAGGTGGTCTCTGGGAATGGCTTCAGTTCCAGGACAGAGGGATGTCTTAGAGCCATAGTCTCTGGGGTTCCTCCAGTCTCTGTCAGACCAGTAAGTCTGGTCTTTTTTGTGAATTTGCTTTTTTGTTCTATATTTTTCTCTCACTCTGCCGAGATTCTCTGTTGTGATCCCAGTCAGCGTGGTCCTTAGTGGCAGCCAGGCACCATCTAGTTCTTCTGGTCTTGGGGTCATGTACACTGTGGTTCATGTGGTCCATTAGTCTTTTGGATTCATTGCTCCCTTGAGTCTCTGGTTTTTTTCACTCGCCTTTGCTCTGGACTGAAAGAGACCAATAGTTGAATTGTAGATGGCCGCCCCCAAGCTTTAAAGATCCCAGATTCTGCTTACCAAAGTAGGATGTACAACATTGTCTTTATGAACTATGTTGTGCCAGTTGATGTAGATGTCCCCTGAGTCTGTAGTCCTTTGCCTTCAAGCCTAGGAGCTTTGTCCCGTGAGGTGTTTGGTTATGTCTATGAGGTTTCCTTGACTGTGCCACTTGTGTGCTCTCTTGTCTGTATTAACATATGAAGAACACCTACAGTCATGTATTTTGATGAAACTCTTTCAACAAGCAAGGATTTATATTTAGCCCACAGAAGTAGGCAACTACAGACCTATGATTTTCTAACAACGATTCTATATTTTTAGAATGTCTATGAATTGTTTCACATTCAGGGAAATTTGAATATTTTTAAAAACCATTTCATTTGTGATTTGCATTTGGAATCACCAGTAGATTTAATTTCAGGAATCTCCGAGAGCTCCTTTTCTTTTTTTTTAATTGTACTTTAGATGAAGGTTTATAGAACAAACTAGTTTCTCATTAAACAGTACATATATTGTTTTATGACATTGGTTAACAACCCCATAGCATGTCAACACTCTCCCTTCTCGACCTTGGGTTCCCTATTACCAGCTTTTCTGTCCCCTCCTGCCTTCTAGTCCTTGTCCCTGGGCTGTTGTGCCCCTTTAGTCTCATTTTTTTTATGGTCCTGTCTGATCTTTGGCTGAAGGGTGAACCTGGGGAATGACTGCATTACTGAGTTAAAAGGGTGTCTGGGGACCATACTCTTGGGGTTTCTCCAGTCTCTGTCAGACCAGTAAGTCTGGTCTTTTTTTGTGAGTTAGAATTTTGTTCTACATTTTTCTCCATCTCTGTCTGGGACCCTCTGTTGTGATCCCAGTCAGAGCAGTCAGTCGTGATAGCCAGATACCATCTAGTTGTACTGGACTCAGTCTGGTGGATTTCATGGTAGTTGTTGTCCATTAGTCCTTTGGACTGATCTTTCCCTTGTATCTTGTTCTCTTCATTCTCCCTTGCCCCTGAAGGGGTGAGACCAGTGGAGTATCTTAGATGTCAGCTTACAGGCTTTTAAGACCCCAGACGCTATTCACCAAGGTAGAATGTAGAACATTTTCTTAATAAACTGTTATGCTAGTTGAGCTAGATGTTGAGAGCTCCTCTTTGAGGACCATTGCTATAGAGTAGTCTATTGCTTTCCAGGTTATAATCTCTTTTATGTATTAGAAAAGAATATTCTTCCTGCTTCATTAGTGTGTGTGTGCTTCTGACAGTTTTTTCTCTTTATGCTAATCTTCTGTCTTTTTAATGTAATATTTTCAGAAACATCAAAATGTCAAGCTTCATCAGCTGTTCTGAATCCCGGCCCCTATTATGGTGTTTCCCAAACTCCTACCACCATCTTCATGGAGACCATACGCTTCTTGATGAAGGTCAATGCTGTGCAGGTCAGAATATTTTGAAAAAGAGCAAGTAGGTAGAAAGATTTTAGTGAACTACTTGTTCTTTCCATAGTGGCATTTTTGGAAGCTTAAATGTGCGTGAAGCAGAAATCAAATATGCTTTTGAGAGCATACCTTAGGCCCAGGGAAAAGAACATCTAAATGTGAGCCACTGTTTGCAGATGACATCAGAAGACCCTACTATGAGTCTGCTCCCTGCAGAATACCAGCAGAGCAAAACCAGACTTCTAAGTCATATGTAGCCTGCTGTCACTCATATTATATGAATGTTGAGGGGTCCACAGGATCCTAATCATACCCTTCCTCCCTTCCAGGTTCTAAACCAATTGGAAACAGATACACAGTGGTATATGGGGGCGGTGGGATGCCTAAAATTTCAAATTATTTTTATTGGTAAAACTTTGCTAGAGAATGTGACTTGCCCATCCAGTCAAATGTAGGACCAGTCATGCACCAGAGAAGGGCATCCTGTAAGTTCTGTGTATGACTTAAGCAGCAAGAAGTATATGCATGAAGCAAATAGTAGGAGAGCAAGATCCAGGAGACAAGAGAGTTGGCCCTGATCCTGCATGCTCCACTGAAGGGCAACCAAGCTCAAGAAAGGACAAGAATTAGGAGCTGGGTTGGGTGGGACACATTAACCAGGAGCCTTTGCCACATTAAAAACCAAAAACCAAATCTGTTGCTGTTGAGTTGATTCTGACTCATAGCAACCCAACAGGACAAAGTAGAACTGCCCCATAGGGTTCCCAAGGCTGTAATCTTTACAGACATAGACTGCCGTATCTTTCTCCTATGGAGTGGCTGGTAGGTTCAAACTGCTGACCTTTCAGTTAGCAGCAGAGCAAGTCACTATCCCCCTATGTTAAAGGGCCAGAAGGCAATTAGAGAAAACAGCTGCAGTCCCTCCCCAACTATTTCCCTAAGGAGATATAAATATTGGTAGAAGTTTCTATATCATAGGCTGAGATGGGAACACAGGGAAAGCAAAAGAAGGATTGCCCCTCTGCTTAGCAAGTACATCCTGGGTTTTTCAATTTTTCAGGCCTTATATAGTGTAGAAAACAAAGAATAGCCCAATGCTACAAAACTATAGACATATGGAAGTTTGAGGGTGTGTCAGAAACAGACATATGTGTTTCCAAGATCCTGAGTCTAGAATTTTAGAAAAGCAGGTATTGCCTTACTGTAAGTTGCCTTACAGCTATGGCTACCCGAAAATGTTACCTCATTTGTAAATGGGGTGGTTGATGAAGTGCCCGTGTTTGCTGCATAATAAATTACAGCCTAACAGTCACCTAGTATAATGACCAGCAAGACCAGAATTGTGCTACACTGCAGGTCATTCACTGGGAAATGTCTGTATTGTTGAGTAAATATACTTGGTAGTAGAGCTATGATGTGCTGAAGGTTTGTAATTCACCCCTAACCTTTTGTGGTTGAGAATAATCATTTCATTCTATAATATGTTCTTTATTATTTATTATCAGAGACAGGATCTTCAGCATGTTCCTCATAATCCAATTTTTCCTTGCAGTATGTGCACAGAGTGCTTGCACATGAGCTGTTATGCCCTCAAGGAGGCCCCAGCTGTGAGTATTACTTGGTGCTGGCCCAAACATACCTTCTCAAGAAGGACTTTGCCAAGGCAGAGGAATGCCTTCAACAAGCAGCCCAGATGGACTACCTGGTAATAACTTTTGCTAGAACCTCTAAAGTTAGGAGAAAGGGTGAATAGGCTTTATCAAAGGTGGTGGGATGCCTTATCACAAGTAGATTTCTGGTGACCAGAGGTGGGAGTCATCAGCTGTCAGTGAACTCATCTATCTACTCCCTTCTGTTTGTTTTTCTCAAGCAATCATGAGTTTTGCAAAGGGCAAAGAAAATGGGAAGGACAGCTCTTCAGCAGATAGTATTTATCTACTTCAAGTTTTCTGGACTTCTGTTTTCCCATTGTGAACACTATCATGGCTATGTGTGAATGTTTTTCTTAATATTTACCCAAAGACGAAAAGGCTTTGAACAATTCAAGAAAGAAATGAGAGGGTAGACCTAGAAAAATATCTCCCAGTACAGTTGAATGAACCTCCTTCTAACTGAGTGCTATTAGAAAAAGAAAGTGGACTTGGTCTGAATTTAAATGTTAAACAAGGATCATTAAGGTATTTTTAACATCATCTTGTCCCATACTACTTGTTCTTCTCTTTCTCAGAACCCTAACGTCTGGGGCGTGAAGGGCCATCTCTATTTTCTGAGTGGAAATCATGCTGAGGCCAAAGCATGCTATGAGAGAACCATTAGTTTTGTAGTGGATGCTTCTGAGATGCACTTCATCTTCCTGCGACTGGGCCTTATCTATCTGGAAGAAAAAGAGGTGAGGGATAGAGAATAGGGAATAACCATGTAAATCAGGCTATGGTCTTGGATCTGCTTAAAGTTCAAGCATTAACATCCACCTCTGTGAGCTAAAAATAGTAATATGATAATGGTATTTTTACATCTAGAGGTAAAGTAACTAGCTCACCATCTTAGACTGGGTTCTCTAGAGGGGCTAAACCGGTGAAGTGTGTATATATATACATATATAGAGAGAGCGAGAGAGAGAGAGAGATTTATTTCAAGGAAATGGCTTACGCAGTTGTGGAGGCTGACAAGTCCCAAATTCTTGGGTCCGCATCAGGCCAGAGGCTTCTCCTGACTCATGTGGTTGCAGGGGCCGACAAACCCCTAATCAGCAGGTCACACAGCAGGCTGCTGGCTCACAGGGCTGTGGGAGCTTGCGAATTCCAAAATCTGTAGGTCAGATGGTAGGATGCTGGCTCATGCCCCAAGAACCAGAGATCAGGGGATGACAAGTTTGATGCAGGATTGAGATACAGTGAGCTTTGCCAGAACATCCCTATATATTAGATGCAGGCCACATACCCAAGGAAACTCCCCTTTCAACTGATTGGCTGCTCACATCAGATCACAGAATGAAGATGATTACACGATATCTGCCAAACCACTGAGAATCATGGCCTAGCCAAGGTGACACATTACCTTAACCGTCACACCACCATCAGATAACTAGCAATTAGTGGGACCAGGATTCAAACCCATGAAGTCTGCTACCAGAGTCTGTGGTCTTAACTATTATGCTACTAAAAAGATACTAAAATTCAGTAGGGTCACAGCCTTGAAGACCCTATGGAGCACAGTTCTACTCTGCACAGATGGGGTCACCATGAGTTAGAATCAACTCGACAGCGACTAACAACAATTATTATTAGTAGAAACATTCTAGAAAGTTTTCATGGACTTCAGTGGGACTTCTCCAGACTTCTTCCTCAACATATAAGGCTTGAGAGAAATCTCTATTAAATAAGGAAAAGTTTTCTTTCTGCTGTCATTGCAAGCTGCATTTTCACAGAGCTGCTGACTCAGGCAGTCAGTAGGCAAGCAGTTCTTAGGCTACTCGTTGAGGCTCAGCTCAGATACAAGCATACAAGGCAAGAAGTGATCCTTTCAGGGCAGTCCTTTGAGCAGTCTTTGAGAGCTACTTCCTTTAATGTTTTTGTTATTGTTGTTGATTTTAGTTTTTCTGACTGTCTCCTGTAGTACTGTGAGCTCCTAAGACCTTTTACAAGGAGGGGACTCTCCGAATGTTGAAGCAATGTCAAGTATACCTCTTATTTTCCCGCATTTATTAGCCCAGGGGTCATGTAGCAGGTATCCCACTACATGATGTCACTTTTAAGTGAAAGGGGGAACCCATAAGGTCTAGGTAGAATTCAGATGAGCATTGGGGTTGCCCAGAACTTGCAGTGTAACTCTTTGCTTCAACTCTTACAGAGACTAATAGCATCTTTGGAACTGCTTACAGGTCAAAGTCAGCCCTTTAATTTGGTCCATCCACCTCTTACCAGTCTTTTGTTAACTCCCTTAGAGTAGGCAATAAAAATAAAATCCATGGACTCACTTAACTTGGATTGTTTTGGAGTGCAGCTGTCAGAGGCTCCATAATTATCCCAGCAATGCAGTGTTTGCATCTTCCAGAAGAACGGTAACTTAGTGATGCTTTCTTTCTGCAGTACGAAAAGGCAAAGAGAACCTACCTGCAAGCTTGTAAGAGATCACCTTCATGTCTTACCTGGTTAGGACTGGGAATCTCCTGCTATCGGGTAAGAAGTTGAAGGCTTGAGACTAGACCTGTGCATATAGCTGACTTTGATTTCTTGGTCTTCCAAGCACCCTGGGGATTTGTGATGATGGTGGAATGGCTATCAGGGCGGTCTTCTCTAATGAAAAGTTGCTCTTCAAAGTTTTTCAGTGAACTGAAGGCCAGTCTGAATTAGAAAAATAAAATACCCTTATAAATCCCACAAAATCCTGAATCTGGAAACTATATAATAAAAAAAAGTTATGTTATTTGGTATAAAAGCTATTTTATGGTATTATCTGCAAGAAAAATGATATGGAAGATGAAGAATCTAGTTAATTAAAGGAATTTATTGATTACTTACTAAGCGCTGTGGCCTTCCTGTGTTCAAGAGGAGCCGCTGTAGCTTTGGGTAGGCCTTTTGTCCCATCACACCTAACTCTCTCCTCACCTTCCCCCTTCCTCCAGTCTTGCAATGAGCGTGCGTCCTGCTGTTCTTGACATTTCTTCACGCGTATTCTTGATACCATCCCCCCCTTTTTTCCTAGTACCTTACTCCCTTAATTTTTCCTTGATTGACCTTTTTAACCTCTCCTTCTCAACCAGCTTTTTCTCCATAGTTTTTCCCCATTTTATTGAACCACCGCCACCACCACCACCTTCCTGGTTCCTACCCTTAACAAAAGAGTTGTCTGCTTTCCTTGTCTCCTCTTCTTCACTGAGGTTTTTTTTAATCATAAAGGTAATACATGTTCATTATAGAAATTTTGGAAGATACAAAAGAGTATGAAGAGAACATAAAAGTATCCATAATGCCACCACTCAGTGATAACCACTGTTAACATTTGCCTGTATTTTCCTCTGGTCTTTTTTTACATACTTTTAATGTATAAAATTATAAATAATGTACTTACTGCTTTTTAGTGTTTTTTTCTCCTTAACAATATATCATTGGTATTGTATGACATTACCAAATATTCTAAAACATGAGTTTTAATGTCCTCATGATGTGCCATGCTTTGGATGCATAAATAGAATGACCACGTAATTTACTGTCCAAACCAAGACACTTCTGAGGATAAAAAAGGTGCTATTAATAATTACACTGGGACACAGGGACTTTCCCAGGTCAACCAGGAATATGGTCACCTATACACAAGCCCTAAGTGCCCCCTGCTCCACCTGCCCCAAAAGGATGAAAAACATCAGTAGCTGTTAGAAATTTGATGGCACTGTCAACAGTACAAGAAACCAACTATACAAATTATTTAGTGTAGGTCATGCTTCTATTAGTTTTGAGTAGTGTAAAAAAAAATACATATTATAAAAAAACTTCAGTTAAGCCCTACCATTAAGATGTCCAAGTAATTCTGCCACCCATCAGTGTTTTAGTCATACTATACCTATGTGTGGATATACCATAGTTTATTTAACCAATTACTTATTATTGGACATGTTATTAGTTACCACAATTACACTATTATAAATAAAGCTGAGATAAACATTCTTGTATGTAAATCTTTGTGCTTAACTCTGGTTATTTCCTTAGGATATATTCCTAAAAGAATGTAGAAATATTTTTAAGGTCTTGAAATCATAGTGTCAACTGAGTGCTCCCAGAAAGGCTGTATACTGATTTACACTCTGCCAGAATGTGTGAGAGTCCATTTTCCTATCACTTTGTCAGTAATGGACATTATCATTTGCCAGTTTGATTGCTGTTGTTGTTAGGTGCTGTCAATTTGCTTCTGACTCATAGCGACCGTATGTACTACAGAACGAAACACTGCCCGGTCCTGTGCCATGTTCACAATGGTTGTTATGCTCGAGCCCATTGTTGCAGCCGCTGTGTCAGTCCATCTTATTGAGGGTCTTCCTTTTTCCCGCTGACCCTGTACTTTACCAAGCATGATGTCCTTCTCCAGGGACTGATCCCTCCTGATAACATGTCCAAAGTATGTAAGACAAAGTCTCACCATCCTTACTTCTAAGGAGCATTTTGGTTGTACTTCTTCTAAGACAGATTTGTTCGTTCTTTGGCAGTCCATGGTATATTCAGTATTCTTCACCAACACCACAATTCAAAGGCGTCAGTTCTTCGTTGGTCTTCTTTATTCATTGTCCAGCTTTTGCATGCACACAAGGAGATTGAAAATACCATGACTTGAGTCAGGTGCACCATAGTCTTCAAGGTGACATCTTTGCTTTTCAACACTTTAAAGAGGTCTTTTGCAGCAGATTTGCCCAACGCAATGCGTCTTTTTATTTCTTGACTCCTGCTTCCATGGGTGTTGATTGTGGACCCAAGTAAAATGAAATCCTTGACAACTTGAATCTTTTCTGTTTATCATGATGTTGGTTATTGGTCCAGTTGTGAGGATTTTTGTTTTCTTTATGTTGAGGCGTAATCCGTACTGAAGGCTATACTCTTCGATCTTCATCAGTAAGTGCTTCAAGTCCTGTTCATTTTCAGCAAGTAAGGTTGTGTCATCAGCATAACACAGGTTGTTAATGAGTCTTCCTTCAATCCTGATGCCCTGTTCTTCTTCATATAGTCAGTCCAGCTTCTCGGATTATTTGCTCAGCGTACAGATAGAATAGGTATGATGAAAGGATACAGCCCTGATGCACACCTTTCCCGACCTTAAACCACCCAGTATCTCCTTGTTCCATTCAAATGACTGCCTCTTGATCTATGTAGAAGTTCCTCATGAGCGCAATTAAATGTTCTGGAATTCCCATTCTTCGCAGTGTTATCCATAATTTGTTATAATCCACACAGTTGAATGCCTTTGCGTAGTCAATAAAACACAAGTAAACAAGTTTCTGGTATTCTCTGCTTTCAGCCAGGATCCATCTGACATCAGCAATGATATCCCTCATTCCACGTCCTCTTCCTGAATCTGGCCTCAATTTCTGGCAGTTCCCTGTTGATACACTGCTGCAGCCACTTTTGAATGATCTTCAGCAAAATTTTACTTGTCTGTGATATTAATGATATTGTTTGATAATTTCTGCATTCGGTTGGATCACCTTTCTTGGGAATAGGCATAAATATGGATCTCTTCCAGTCGGTTGGCCAGGTAGCTGTTTTCCAAATTTCTTGGCATAGATGAGTGAGCACTTCCAGGGCTGCATCCATTTGTTGAAACATCTCAGTTGGTATTCCATCAATTCCTATAGCCTTGTTTTTCGCCAGTGCCTTTGGTGCAGCTTGGACTTCTTCCTTCAATACCATCAGTTCCTGATCATATGCTACCTCTTGAAGTGGTTGAACGTCGACCAATTCTTTTTGGTATAACGACTTTGTGTATTCCTTCCATTTTCTGATGCTTCCTGCGTCATTTAATATTTTCCCCCACGGAATCCTTCACTATTGCAATTCGAGGCTTGAGTTTTTTATTCAGTTGTTTCAGCTTGAGGAAATGCTGAGCGTGTTCTTCCCTTTTGGTTTTCTATCTCCAGCTCTTTGCACATGTCATTATAATACTTTGCTTTGTCTTCTTGAGCTGCCTTTTGAAATCTTCTGTTCAGGTCTCTTACTTCATCATTTCTTCCTTTCTCTTTAGATACTCGACATTCAAGAGCAAATTTCAGAGTCTCTTCTGACATCCAGTTTGGTCTTTTCTTTCTTTCCTGTCTTCTTAATGACCTCTTGCTTTCTTCATATATGATGTCCTTTATGTCATTCCACAACTCGTCTGGTCTTTGGTCATTAGTGATCAACACACGTCAAATCTGTTCTTGAGATGGTCTCTAAATTCAGGTGGGATATACTCAAGGACATACTTTGGCTCCATGGACTTGTTCTAATTTCCTTCAGTTTCAACTTGAACTTGCATATGAGCAGTTGATGGTCTGTTCTGCAGTCGGCCCTTGGCCTTGTTCTGACTGATAATATTGAGCTTTTCTATCGTCTCTTCCCATAGATGGAGTCGATTTGATTCCTGTGTATTCTGTCTGGTGAGGTCCATGTGTATAGTTGCCATTTATGTTGTGGAAAAAAGGTATTTGCAATGAAGAAGTCGTTGATCTTGCAAAATTCTATCATGTGATCTCCGGCATCGTTTCTATTACCAAGGCCATATTTTCCACCTACCGATCCCTTCTTCTTTCTTTCCAACTTTTGCATTCCAGTCACCAGTAATTATCAGTGCATCCTGATTGCATGTTCAGTGAATTTCAGACTGCAGAAACTGGTAAAAATCTTCAATTTCTTTATCTTTGGCCTTAGTGGTTGGTGTGTAAATTTGAATAGTAGTTTTATTAACTGATCTTCCTTGTAGGTATATGGATATTATCCTATCACTGACAGCATCATACTTCAGGATAGACCTTGAAATGTTCTTTTGGACGATGAGTATAACGCCGTTCCTCTTAAAGTTGTCATTCCCATCATAGTAGACCATGTGATTGTCCAGTTCAAAATGGCCAATACCCAATACCAGTCCATTTTAGCTCACTAATGCCTAGGATATTGATGTTTATGTATTTCATTTTTGACAATTTCCAATTTTCCTAGGTTCATCCTTCATACATTCCACATTCTGATTATTAATGGGTGTTTGCAGCTGTTTCTTCTCATTTTGAATCCTGCCACATCTGCAAATGAAGGTCCCAAAAGCTTGACTCCACCCACATCGTTAAGGTTGACTCTAGTTTGAGGAGGCAGCTGTTCCCCAGTAGTCTTTTGAGTGCCTTCCAACCTGGGTGTGCTCCATCTTCCGGCACTGTATCAGACAATGTTCCGCTGCTGTTCATAAGGTTTTCACTAGCTAATTCTTTCAGAAGTAGACTGCCGGGTTTTTCTTCCTAGTCTGTCTTATTCTGGAAGCTCCACTGAAACCTGTCTGCCATGGGTGACCCTGCTGGTATCTGAATACCAGTGGCATAGCTTCCAGCATCACAGCAACACGCAAGCCCCCACAGTACAACAAACTGACAGACAGGTCATTATCGTTTGCCAATTTGATGGGCATCTTAATTTGCATTTTTATCACTGTCATGGTTTGAATTATGTCCCCCAAAAAATGTGTGTATCAATTTGGCTGGGCCATGATTCCCAGAATTGTGTGATTGGCCTCCATTTTGTGATTGTAATTTTATGTTAAAGAGGATTAGGGTGGGATTGTAACACCAACTTTACCCAGGTCACATCCCTGATCCAATGTAAAG